ACTACTACTCTACACTTCTACTACTATTACTACTACTCCTACTAAGCTACTTCTACTACTACTACTACTACTACTACTGTCGACGAACGACGAACGACGACGACGACGACGACGACGACGACTACTACTACTAACTACTACTACTACGAATTCTACGACTACTACTACTTACTACTTACTAACTACTACTATACGACTACTACTACTACTACTACTCACTACTACTACATACTACTACTACGACTAATACTACGACTCCTACTACTACTACTCCTACTACTACTACTACTAATACACTACTACGACTACGACTAACGACTACGACTACGACTACGACATACTACTACTACTACTACTACTAACTACTACTCCTACTCCTACTACTACTACTACTACTACTACTACTACTACTACTACTACTACTACTACTACTACTACTACTACTACTACTACTACTACTACTACTACTACTACTACTACTACTACTACTACTACTACTACTACTACTACTACTACTACTACTACTACTACTACTACTACTACTACTACTACTACTACTACTACTACTACTGTTACTACTACCACTACTACTACTACTGCTACTACTACTACTACTTCTTCTTATTCTTCTTACTACTACTACTACTACTACTACTACTACTACTACTACTACTACTACTACTACTACTACTACTACTACTACTACTACTACTCGCCATAATAATCATACTGATCCTCCGACTACTACTCCTACTCCTACACCTTCTCCTACGCCTGCTCCTACTCCTACTCCTACTTATACTCCTCCTTCTCCTCTTCCTCCTCCTCCTCTTCCTGCTCCTCCTCCTCCTCCTCCTCCCCCTCCTTGTGCGACTTTTACGCCGCTTTCTCCTCATGCTCCTGCTCCTCCGACTTCATTCCATCTCACGCCCATCCTCCCCCTTCCTCACGGCCCTCACCCTCCGCCTCCTCCGAGCCCACTGCTGCACGACAACTTCAGCGACGGAAAGAACGACGGGGAGACTGGAGTTGTCGTCGTCGTCGCCGTCGCCGTCGTCTTCGTCGTCGCCGTCGCCGTCACCGTCACCGTCGCCGTCGCCGTCGCAGTCGCCGTCACCGTCGCCGCAGCCGCCGCGGCCATCGTCATCGTCATCGTCATCGTCATCGTCGTCGTCGTCGAAATCGTCGTCGTGGTCGACGTCGTCGCCACCGCCGCCGCGTCCGTCGTCGCAGTCGCTGCTGCCGCCGCCGCTGTCGCCGCCGCCGCCGCCGCCGCCGTCCTCGTCGTCGTCGTCGTCGTCGTCGTCGTCGTGGTCGTGGTCAGTGTCGTCGTCGTCGTCGTCCATCGCAGTCGTCCAAGTCGTCGTCGTCCATCGCAGTCGTCCAGTCGACTGGCGGGCGCCCGACGGCGGCCGCGGCGCCTGCTCCGCCACGGGCTCGTCCGCGCTCCAGGGCGGCGACGTCAGCCTCCGGGCCACCGGGGCCAGGAGGGCCGTGGTCTCCTGGGCGGGGGCGGGGCGGCTCGGTGAGACGACGACGACGACGACGTCGACGATGCCGACGACGACGACGCCGACGACGACGACGACCACGACGACGACGACGACGACGACGACGAGGGGGGCGAAGGAGAAGCAGGAGGAGGGGGAGGGAGGAGGAGGTTCAGAAGAGGAACATGTACCGATACCGCTGCTCGTCCTGAAGAGCCCTCGTCGCCACGGGTGGTTGTGATAGTCGGATTGCATCCCGGGGGAGGGTCGGGGATCAGCAGTATCAGTAGAGGTGTATGACAAGGACGAGGGCGACGATGAGTAGGAGGAGCAGGAGGAGGAGGAGAAGGAGGAGGAGGGTGAGGGGCGCGGGCAAGGAAGAAAGGAGGGATGAGGAAGGACAGGGAAGGAGGGGAGTAGGAGGGCCAGAGGAGGAGGAGGATGAGGAGGAGGACGACGAGGAGCCAGGAAGAACAATGGTATATAAGTAATCGCAAGAACAAGATGAAGAAGACGAATCAAAAAACCCGGCATGGCGCGGTGTCTATGCCGTGCCCTGCTCGCGCGTGCAGCTGTTCAAGGGGCAAGGGAGGGCCTACCTCGAGCGATCGACGAGAGCGAGGAGGGGCAGGCGAGGGGGGCACCCCGTCGTCGTCGTCGTCGTCGTCGTCGTCGTCGTCGTCGTCGTCGTCGTCGTCCTCGTCGTCGTCGTTCTCGTCGTCGTTCTCGTCGTCGTCGCCGTCGTCGTCGTCGTCGTCGCTGCTGCCTTCGCCGCCGTCGTCGTCGCCGGATACGTCGTTAACGGCGTGGTCGTCGTCATCGTTGTCGTGGTCTTGGTCGTGATTGTGGTCGTGATCGTGGTCGTCGTCGTGGTCGTCGTCGTGGTCGTCGTCGTGGTCGTGTTCCCGCGGTCGTCGTCGACGCCGCACCGAGCCGCGGGGCGCGGGCGGGGGCGCCGAGGCGCGCGCCGCGCGGTCCGCGGTGAGCTCCGGCGGGCGGGGGCGGCACAC